TTCTAAGCAACTCGTTGAGATTTATATTCCAGATTTTTTCGTGATGTTTAGTCAACTTTGCTAAAAGTTTCAAATTTTCAATCAAATATTTGACCTTTTTTGGAGCACTTTAAAAAAAAATTTTTTTTTGACTTGCAGGAGCTATTTTTGGTTTCATTTTTTCGAAAATTTCAATTATTTTTCCAAAAACCCCATTAAATGTGAGTATTTTTGGATATTGTAAAAATTTAACTTTGGAACCGAATATTTCCAAAATCTTGGGCCCCCGTCAGCAGAGTATTCTAATCAACTCGTCGAGATTTATATTGCAGGCTTTTTCGTGAATTTTTTGTCAACTTTGCCAAAAGCTCAAATTTTTCAATGAAATTTTTAACCTATTTTCGAGCACTTTCGAAAGTTACCCAAAGAGATTTTGTTGTTGATGTTGACTTGGAGAAGGTAATTTTGACTTCATTATTTTTTCGAAAATTCCAACCATTTTTCCAGAATCGTCAAAATGAAACATGGTTTTAAGATGATTTAATATTTTTATTTTGAAACCGAATAGTTTTAAAATCTTGGTCTAGAACCATCAACAGGCCATGTTTTTCGATTCAATTTGTCGAGATTTATATCCTAGATTTTTTCTAAAAGCTCAATTTTTCCACTTACGAACTTTTGACTTTTTTCCGAGCACTTTCAAAAAGTACCTGAAGAAATGTTTGTGTTGATCTTGACTTGTAGAAGTTACTTTTGGTTTAATTTCTTCGAAAATTTCAACCATTTTTTCAGAATCGCCAAAATTAAATATAAGCATTTTTTGAATATTTCAAAAATTTAATTTTGAGACCAAATATTTCGGAAATCTAGGTCTGGAACCATCAATAGGCCATGTTTTTAGATTCAGCTTGTCGAGATTTATATCCTAGATTTTTTTGTGGAGTCTTAGATAACTTTGCCAAAAGCCCAATTTTTCCATTTACGAAATTTTGACCTTTTTCAGAGCATTTTTGAAAATTACCTGAAGAAATATTTGTGTTGATTTTGACTTGTAAAAGTTATTTTTGGTTTCATTTCTTCGAAAATTTCAACCATTTTTTCAGAATCGCCAAAATTAAATACATATAACCATTTTTTTGAATACTTCAAAAATTTAATTTTGAGATTAAATATTTCGAAAATCGTGGTCTGGAACCATAAACATGTCATATTTTTCGATTCAGCTTGTCGAAATTTCAATCCTTCGTTTTTTTTTGTGGATTTTTAACAACTTTGCCAAAGCTCAATTTTTTCACTTACGAAATTTTGATCTTTTTCCTAGCACTTTCAAAAATTACCTCAAAAAATATTTGTGTTGATTCTGACATGTAGAAGTTATTTTTGGTTTCATTTTTTCGAAAATGCAACCATTTTTCCAGAATTGTCAAAATGAAATATAACCATTTTTTGCATATTTTAAAAATTTAATTTCAAAACCGAATAGATCGAAAATTTTGATCTGGGACCATCAATAGCCTATATTTTTCCGATCAGTTCGTTGAGATTTGTTATGGATTTTTAGGCAACTTTGCCAAAAGCTCAGTTTTTTTCACTATACCCATAACAAATTTTTGACATTTTTCTGAACACTTTCGTAAATCATTTATACATATTTTTTTGTTGAATTCGATCTGCGGAAGTGGTTTTCGGCTTCATTTCTTCAAAAATTCCAATTACTTTTCCAAAATCTCCACAATGAAATCTGACTTTTTAGATATTGTAAAAATTTGATTTTGGCACCGATATTTCGAAAATCTTAGTCTGGGACCATCAGGATCTATTTTTCGAATCAACTCGTCGAGATTTATATTGCAGAGTTTTTTGTGAATTTTTGGTCAACTTTTCCAAAAGCTCAGATTTTTAATGGAATATTTGACGTTTTTCCGAGCACTTCCGAAAATTACCAAAAGAATTTTTTTTTTGTTGATTTTGACTTACAGAAGTTAATTTCGCCTTCATTTCTCTGAAAATTCCAATCTTTTTTCCAAAATCTCTAAAACGAAATATGGCCATTTTTGAAATCATTTAAAAATCCCATTTTGAAACCGAATAGTTCGAAAAATTGGTCTTGTTTTTCTATTAACCTGGTCGACGTTAATATCCCAGATTTTTTTGTGAATTTTAGTCAATCTTATCAAAAGATTCAAATTATTAATGCAATTTTTAACCTTTTTTTGAGCACTTTCAAAAATTATTTAAAAAGATTTGTTTTTCGTTGATATTGATCTGCAGAAGTTAATTTGGCTTCATTTCTTTGAAAATTCTAACCATTTTTCCAGAATCGCCAAAATTAAATATAACAATTTTTTGAATATTTGAAAAATTTAATTTTGAAACCTAATAGATCGAAAATTTTGGTCTAGGACCATCAGTAACCTATATATTTCAAATCAGCTTGTAGAGATTTATATTCCAGAATTTGTTATGGATTTTTAGGCAACTTTGTCAAAATCTCAGTTTTTTTGGTCAATATCCCCCTTATGAATTTTTTGACATTTTTCTGAGCACTTTCGTAAATTACCTAAAGATATTTTATTGTTAATTTCGATTGCGGAAGTGATTTTCGGCTTTATTTCTTCGAAAATTTCAATCATTTTTCCAGAAAGAAATGTGACTGTTTTTGGATATTGTAAAAATATTTTTCGAATCAACTCGTCGATATTTATATTACAGAATTTTTTGTGAAACTTTAGTCAACTTTGCCAAAAGCTCAAATTTTTTAATGAGATTTTTAATCTGTTTTCGAGCACTTTCGAAAATTACTTAAACAGATTTTTTTGTTGAAGTTGACTTGCAGAAGTAAATTTCGACTTCATTTTTTCGAAAATTCCAACCACTTTTCCCGAATCGCCAAAATGAAACATGATTTTGAGATAATTTAAAAATTATATTTTGAAACCGAATAGATCGAAAATCTTAGTGTGGACCATCAATAGCCGATATTTTTCCAATCTATCGTTGAGATTTATATCCCAGAATTTTGTTGTGATTTTTAGGCAACTTTGCCAAAAGTCAGTTTTTGTCAATATGCCTTTGTGAAATTTTTGACATTTTTCTGTGCACTTTCGTAAATTATCTAAAGATATTTTTCTATTGATTTCGATCTGTAGAAGCGATTTTCGGCTTCATTTCTTCCAAAATTCCAATTATTTTTCCTGAACCATTACAATTAAATGTGACTATTTTTGGACTTTGTAAAAATTTGACTTTGGAACCGAATAGTTAAAAAATCTTGGTCTGGAATTATCAACAGGTCATGTTTTTAGATTCAGCTTGTTAAGATTTATATCCTAGTTTCTTTTTTGGATTCTTAGGCAACTTTGCCAAAAGTTCAATTTTTTTTGACTTACGAAATCTTGACCTTTTTCCGAGCACTTTCGAAAATTACCTGAAGAAACATTTGTGTTGATTTTGACTTGTTGAAGTTATTTTTGGTTTCATTTCTTTGAGAATTTCAACCATCCAGAATCGCCAAAATGAAATATAACCATTTTTTGAATATTTCCAAAAATGTTTATGAAAATTCCAACCATTTTTCCAGAATCGCTAAAATGAAATATGACCATTTTTGGGACGTCAAAAAAAGTGAGACCAGTAATCGAGCATGTTTTTCGAATCAGTTCGTCGAGATTTATAATTCAAAATTTTTTGCTGATTTTTAAATAACTTTGTGGGCATTTTTGGGATATTCTAGAAATTTAATTTTGAAACCGAACATTTCGGAAATCTTGCTTTGGGATCATCAAGATCTATGGACCTGGGATGTTTCTGTGGTTTTCAAATTTTATCTGGCACATAAAGGCAATTTTTAAAACCCGAAAACTACGTTAAATTTTATGTTTTTATATTAAAGCAAAATACCAATTTTCCACAGAAAAACAAATGAGTTTTGTTAAACTAGAAGTGACAGTGCACATTTCAAGTGACATTTGCTTATCAAAATTTTGAGATGACATCATCAAGTTTTTGTAGACGATGACCAGATAAATTTCAGGTAGCTTTATCAATCTGATAATAAAATTCACCTAAAATTTCGGTAAAACTAATTTAAATTTAATGCTGAAACGGAAACAGAAACCTGCATTCTCGTATACCAGAAGTTGTAGAACGGAAAGAAAACACAAAATTAGACATTTATCAAAACAGCAGTTCTTCTTATGTTCAGATTTAAAACAACAGAATCAATGCACTGCTAAAATTCGATGATTATGCAACCAACATTACTACAACGGGCAACTCGATCTTTAAAAAAATGACAAGTGCATTGTTTTCAAATTAACATGAAAACTTTCGTTACAAAATGTAAACAAAAGGTTTAATTTTGTCAGAAATGGTTATACTCTGTCACTTTTTCTTGTATTTAAAAGGGAATTTTGATCATTCTGTACAGACTACCAACAAATTTAACTAAATTTTCATAGCCAACCCTGCTTCGAATAGATTGTGAATAGATAACTAATAATAATAATAAAAAAGAATACAATCCCCTGGCCAAGGATTAGAAGGTACTGAAATATTGATAAATTATTTTTCCTGTCCCAAAGTATTGTTTAATTTGTTTGTTACAAAAATTTTCGAAACTGAAAAATCACTGAAAAGTAGTATTTTTTTTTAAAATCCAATGCGGTTTCAAAAAACTGGCTCCCGACCCAATATAACTGTTAACAGCAGAACAAGGAAAGTAAATAAGTGAGCTCCTTTAACAAATAATGGGAGTTAACTGTACTAGATTACAACGTTTAAGCAAACAAATCAATTCGCTGTCCACTCTAGGGATTGTTATTTTTAAATTAAGCGAAATTGGAACTACCCTCGCGTAAACTTCGCCTGATTTAGTGGACTCCAGTGGCGTCCTAGTTTTTACTTCAAAAAAATGTACCTAATCAAGTAAATTACAATTAACATTTTAACACTCCTCCGGGACCCCTCTAACCCAAAAACCCAACAAGTCGACCATCCCTCTAATTTAAATAAAATTGCAGGTAAACGAACGCAAGAATGTATCTGCGTGGGAATTTGTATGACACTAATGGTAGTCAATTTTTTCTTCATTATATTCCATGTCCGAATCGATAATTTGAGTACAATACTAGTAGCGGCTTTCTGTGGAATCGTCACAGCAGATTTTGGATCAGGGTTAGTCCACTGGGCTGCCGACACTTGGGGCTCCGTGGAACTGCCAATTCTAGGCAAAGTAAGTAGATTACTCGTGTTAGAGCTAATATCATTTGATAAGAGAATTACTCCAAAGCCTTTGTCTTAAGTGCAACAGCCTCTAACCCACTCGGTCTGGACTCCTTAATTAAATCTGCGCCAATCTCTTATAGAATTTCCTTCGTCCGTTCCGCGAACACCACATAGACCCGACGTCCATTACCCGTCACGACTTCATCGAAACCAACGGTGATAATTTCATGGTAACCATTCCCTTTTTGGCGCGCATGGTCTGGGACTTCTTGACTCTGTCCGAAGACGACGTCCAGAAGAAGTTCACTTGGAACTGCTACGTGTTCCTTTTGGCGCTCTTTGTCGCGATGACCAATCAGGTAAGCCGGCCTTGGGGCCGTCAACAAATGAGGAATGCGCGCTTAATCCAATTTAAAGCGCATTCGCTTATTGATTGAATTATGTTCGATAAAGAGCAAAAGCCGAGATTGGATGAATTCCAGTCACGTAACTTGTGGCATACACTTTTCCTGGTGTTTTAGATCGAGCCTGGAGATACTGCACTTTATAAATGATAGGGAAACGTGTTAACACGCACATTCTCGCAGGGAGTTGCCCTCGAATCTGATAAAACATCACTTTTCATTTGCTTATTGACTATTAGCCGGATGAATTGGCGCCCGAAATTGATGAGGTATAAAGTCGTAACGAAGGCAATTTTCTTTTTGTATGGGGTTTTTTGCGCGGGGTCGTGGCGGCGCCCAATCATGTGACATAAGAAAATCAATAATCGAGTAGGTGGCTTTATGGAGGAGTGCTACTGTATGTTTTATTTGATTTATAATGCATGGCTCACATTGTAGATACACAAGTGGTTGTGTACTAGTTCCAGCTGTGTGGGTGATGTGTGGTAATATACCTATATTTGATGGTTTTTATTCATTTTATTTTTAGTTTAACATTTACCCTTCTGGTACTTGTTGAGGCCGTTTTTGAATTTATAATGATGTATGGGTTATTGTGGAAATGCCAACAGTTCGAGCGAAATTCTCCAACAATTTGCTCGTGGATATAAATGTTATTTGGTGTAGATTTGAGATAATTCGCGCCACCGTCTCTCAACTGCACCGCACAGATCAATGAAATTGTTGATTTGACTGTTAATTGTTCCGATTTTTATTTATTGTGTTGTGTTTATTCCTAAAAAACACCACTAAACGGAAGTTCAGTAATATTTTCAGAAAATAACTCGATCCGTTCATAGATTTTTTCACGTGAATCGATTCCATGTATAATTGGTTGCATGTACATATTTATTTATTATAATTTATTCAATAGTTAAACCATTTCTTGAAATACAACATCACGTTACAAAAGTCTGTGATTTTTTTGTCAGGTTGGCAACACATTTAAAATTTAATCAATTAATCATGGCATACCTGATGTCAAATTAAAATTTTGGGCACCAATTCAGTAGCTGCTATCTTCTCATTGGTTTTTACGCACGCTCCTGACAAAATTGAGGCCTGTGAACTGACATGCTAGTACTACTGCCAATAAGTCAGAATTGCCAACTTAAAAATTCGCTGGATGCGTCATGATCTCTAGACACATAATCTTCGAAACTACAGGCCCGGTTGTTGTCAAATTTTATGTGTTTATCCCCAAAATTTACGGTTGTATATGTTAGGTATTTAAATTTTATAAAATTAGATTTTGAAAAAATAAATTAAAAATAAAATCTTGCAAACGTTTTTAGGTTATTGCAAGCATGACAATAAATCGTTAATGAATTTTTTTCCTTTATGCTCTCCCAAATGTTGTCGTCATTTTGCCGAATATTCTTTCATTTTTATAGAATAACATACTCCTGAATATGTGATTTATGAATTCGTGTTGAGTTTTTACCTCAGAAATCCGGACTTCTAAAAAAAAAAATCAAAATTGTATAACAACTTTTTACAATTTAATTTTGAAATTGCAAAATGGAATGGTGTGAAGTCTTGCAAACATTTTAAGGTTATTGGAAGCACGGTAAATCTTTTATCAAAATTTATACATTTACATACAAATTCATTTTACAATTTTGCCGAATAACTTTTTTTAAATTTACGTGTTCACGCTAGACATCCAGTTTTTTCATATATCGAATCTATGAAATGAAATTTTTTAAAATTTCTACAGAAGATGTTCGTTCAAAATTCCTGCCTTGTGCATATAAGAAAGCTCGTACTGTTTCCAAATTTTGATCTTTTTTTGTAAAAGTTAATCATCAGTACCTACTTACTAAGATAAAACTGATTTTGGCAATGACATACCCTCTAAGAAAAGAGAGGGTGGGTGGGCGGGGCTAATATCTGTCAAGATAAGACTGATTTTGGCAAATGAGATGGCCTCTAAGAAAAGTGAGGGCGGGTGGGCGGGGCTAGTACCTGCTAAAATAAGACCGATTTTGGCAAATGATATATATCTTATTTTAGCAGGTACTAACCCCGTCTATCCGCCCTCTCGTGGAAGGTATCTCATCTCTCAAAATCACTCTTATCTTAACAGGTACTAGCCCCGCCCACCCGCCCTCTTTTTTCTTAGAAGGATCTAATTTGCCAAAATCAGTCTTATCTTAAATTCAAATGCAGCACGAAAGAGGCTAGGGGCGGGGCTTATGTGACGCAACGATTGTAGCATAAGAAGGTTACATAGTTACAGTATATATTATGTACTTTCAAGAAATCATAGTAAATTTCAAAGATTAGATGAATTGTACATATAATCACATTCTTAAAAATATTACTATCATTTATTAAATGTGCCACAAATAATGTATTATGAGTTTGGGTGCACGCCACTGCAAAGACATTCTCCCCTTCGAACGAACCTAAATAAATTGACACTATGCGCAGATCACGTTGATTGCCCCTTTCGTTTTGTAGCAAACTATAGTAGGTACTAGCCCCGCCCACCCACTCTTTCTTCTCTTATAGGTTGTATGTATAACAAAAAAAGTTACGATTAGCGTTTTTTTTTTACTCTTTTTACATCCTAAATTCTATTCTTTTCAACTCCCACTCGAAAAAAGAACATGATTAGCACCCCCCCCCCCCCCCCTCCTACCTGTCTCCTTTTCAGTGATTGATCTGAACAGAAATATGGGTGAGGGGGGCTAGTACCTGCTAAAATAATTGATTTTGCCAAATGAAATACCCCCTAAGAAAAGAGAGGGTGGGTGGGTGGGGCTAGTACCTTCTAAGATAAGAGTGATTTTGGCAAATGACATACCTTCCAAGAAAAGAGAGGGTGGGTGGGCGGGGCTAGTACCTGCTAAGATAGGAGTGATTTTGGCAAATGACATACCTTCCAAGAAAATAGAGGGCGGGTGGACGGGGCTAGTACTTTTTAAGATAATAATGATTTTAGCAAATGACATATTTTCCAAGAAAGCAGAGGACGGGTAGGTGGGGCTAGTACCTACTAAAATAAGACCGATTTTGAGTGCCGCAGTGTTTTTTTAATTGGGGAGACTCTTGAATACCCATGGTGTATTATTTTGGGAGCCCATGGAAATCTTTTTGTAAAGTATTTAAAACAATTTTGGGGGACTTTAGTGTTCTATTTTTGGAAAATTCGTCAGGTCGTGATCTGACCTGTTTTTGCGTTAATTATGGGGACCCCGTTTTTTCGGCCCCACCCACCCGCCCTCTCTTTTCTTGGAAAGTATGTCATTTGCCAAAATCACTCCTATCTTAGCAGGTACTAGCCCCACCCACCCACCCTTTCTTTTCTTAGAGGGTATCTCATTTGCCAAAATCACTCTTATCTTAGCAGGTACTAGCCCCGCCCACCCACCCTCTCTTTTCTTGGAAAGTATGTCATTTGCCAAAATCACTCCCATCTTAGCAGGTACTAGCCCCGCCCACCCACCTTCTTTTTTCTTAGAGGGTATCTCATTTGCCAAAATCACTCTTATCTTAGCAGGTACTAGCCCCGCCCACCCACCCTCTTTTTTCTTAGAGGGTATCTCATTTGCCAAAATCACTCTTATCTTAGCAGGTAATTAATTGCGATCATTTTAAACGTAGGGTTTTGAAAATTTTGACATTTTTTGATACGTCAAACATTTTTAACTGCTTACTCGATTTTTGCTGATTTGTACCTTATCTTTACAACATTGTTGTCAAATGGAATTTTATCAAATTATTACAAGAACAACACAAGCATATGTTGAGAACGTAACGAAGAGTTAATGCGCCATTTTCCAGACACCCGGTGTAGTGGGGGTCCTAGCTCAAGATTTCTCAGCTAGGAGCCCCACTACTTTTTATTGAGCGTTTGTCATCGTCTTGTCCCCGGTTGACCTGACCCCTTGTTCGGTCGGGTTCGGGTAGTGTCGTGCAGACTGGTCATTGACCTTTTTGGTCGGTACGTGTCTGTTGTTGATTTGAGCGTTCCAATGCGAGCGTTAAATTTAAGCTCTGATTCTCCAAAGGAAGTGTGGGTTCGAATCCCACACCTGACAGTTTTTTGCGTTTAAATAAAACACATTTTAATGTTATGTTATTTATTGAGGAAATATAGAATACAGCCAGTTGTAAATATTTCATTTTATTTAATGAACAGAAACATGTCACATGCTGGGATTTCTTTGGCCAATTTCACACAGGCTTCTATGGTTTCCAGATTCAACGAAGACAAGACGATGACAAACGCTTGATAAAAAGTAGCGGGACTCCTAGCTCAGATTTCTTGAGCTAGGACCCCCACTATATAAGTACTTGTACATACAAGTGTTAAACAATTTATTGTAATTATTTTCTATTAAGTTTCTTAAAAAAAAAAACTCAAAATTAATAAAAAAAAGTTGATTTTTTGTTTTAGATTTGTCTTTAGTCTAGCACAGTAAATTATTTCAATACAAACTTTAAACGAATTTATTAGTAACATAACCGGAAGGGTTTTCTCCATCGTGGCTTCTAGAATATAGAAAAGTAGGTCTCTCGTTTCCATCTGTCTGTCCTTCTATGCCCATAGTATATTAAGGCAGTTTTATTTCTGAACCTATGCATGTAGCTTTATGAAAATAAAAGTCGACTGGTACAACAAAAAATGTCACAATTTATTTTAGAAACTATGAAACCGATTGCTTCAAAATTTGGTACCTGCTTTAATATTGTCGTAGACGTGGTAAATTAATAATAATCAGAATTTATGTGTTCATCCACTCCAGAAAGTCGATGACGTCATCTCAAAATGTTAAGTTAGTATTATTTGAAATATTCAAAAAAACGTGTTTTTGTACATGTACATAGTACATAACAAGTTTCGTCATCCACTTTTCTTTTTTTTTAGAACTGTGTATACAGAATGTCTCAAAAATCTAGCTGCGTTTACAACAGAAATTATTTGGAAATAATTTTTATGGATCTCGAAAGAAAAAAAATCTTGTCTTGAGCTTGAGTCTTTTGGTTTCATTTTAATATTAGCTTCAGTCTAGAAACTTATTAGTTCTCACATGGGCTAGATTCTAGGAGCGAATTTGATACGTTTTTTGACAGATGACGTCAAACTTATGATACTAGCGATATTGTCTGATTTTTTTCGGATTTTATAAAAGAAAATTAAATTTTTGTGTATGCAACCAACAATATATTAGTAAGTGATAAATTGATAATACGAAATGAAGATACATATTTATATTTCTCGCCTATTCTACCAATTTATTTTCGAACTATTTACCGGTTCGTCTAGTTTCAGATTCTGTTTTTTCCGTTCTACAAAATATGCGGCCTACAATTTTTTTCCACGATTTTCATTCGTCACAAATTACATTCACCTTTTAATTTCAATTTATTTCGTCGTAATTTTTCGAAATTAAATGATGCAATTATCGCGGGAATTCAAAAATAATCCATTCTATCGTTATCTACATTGCAAATAAACCTTTTAGTCTGAATATTTAGTCTACTTTAATCAAAGAACCTCAGCGAAAATCGATGCACGAACATAACACGTTAAACTCACCGAAAATTGACACGTTTCCCCAACTAGTTATTATTTGACGTCCTTGTCACGTTTTCGGTGTCGCAGATGTGTTTAACGTGTTTGTACACACAAGCCGACGCAATAAAGCATGCTATATATACTTTTTACTAAAACATTTTTTTCCATTGCAGATTCACAAGTGGTCCCACACCTACTTCGGCCTGCCCGGTTGGGTGGTGTGGCTGCAAGAGTGCCACGTGATCCTGCCCCGGCGGCACCACCGCATCCATCACGTCGCCCCCCACGAAACCTATTTCTGCATAACGACCGGCTGGCTGAATTGGCCTTTGGAGAAATTGCGCTTTTGGAGCATATTGGAGGCGGTTATTGAGCAGACCACCGGCTGCAAACCCCGTGCTGACGACATGAAATGGGCACAAAAGGGAACGTGATATATTTTTTTCGTCTGCTTTCAGATAAACTCACATCTCACTCAGGTCTCTTCACGAACTGCTTTCTGTGAAGCTTTGTTGTCGAACGTGTTCGTTATGCGTTATTGTGTGTAATTTATTGAAATGTTGAGTTGTTTCGTTTTGCTACGGCCAGTCGTTTTGTAAGTTACTTTCGGTGTAGCGGTCTGACACTTGATGTGTAACAATTGCCAAATCATCGTTTACTTAATTGAATTTTGATGCCATGTATGATATGGTGATAGTAAGTGAACACCACACTTTTGTTTAATAAAAGTACATATTTTTAATAAGAAGTGCCTAATTTAAAGATTTACAACGACATATTGTGATTATGATGGAATACACAAAATCAAAATTTTTAAAATTATTATATTTATGCGATATAGTGATTGTTGAGTTAGTTAGTTTTAGTTAGATATTTGTATTTAGGGACCAGTAGGCTTTGCGCCTATTTTTTTAAATAATGTACGATTCTAACATAGATTTGTTTGTATTTTAGCTTTAATTGTTGCTGCAGCCACTTTTAGACAGTTCTGGGATAGGAACTATTGGTGTTTAAATTATATCTCCTAGTTAAGTTACTGCTTAGTGGTCATTTTGCAATATTTTAATTCTTTAGGTAATAAAAAACTAGTCTCAAACACTACTCTCCAAGAGTAATCTAAAATGCACTACCAAAGTAGTTAGTATTAAGTCATTGTTTTAAAAATATATAATGTTCATAAACACGCTTATTAAAAAGCCTTAAGGGTATCATATCCTGTACAACTTATGATTAGACTAAGATTTATTATATAAGAATAAGAAGCGACTCATAGTTGATATCTTTTTGTTTTGCAAACGCGACGATTTTATAAAATGTTATAGTTATTTATTTATATATTAAAAATGTTTCATTTGTTTTCAATAAATATCAGCTGTGTCTTACTGAGATTTTATAAAGCTCAGCGTAGTCTGTTTAAGAAAGAATTGTAAAACTGTCTTGTTTAGGCCGCGCAGTGATCAAACGACATTTCTCATCCAAAAATACGTAATGTTATTACCGAATTCAGCGTAAAATATGTTCATACGACTGAATTAACTAATATTGTGATGTATCCCATGTAACTTTAAACGATTCCGCACTGACACTACATTCTTTTGGTCAAAATCGGTGCGAATCGTTTACAAGAACGAACGGAATCTGATTGGCCGAATCACCACATTCCAAACAGATATACCAATTATATTCTACTCTGTGATTGTGAAATTGCAATAAAACGCAGCTATTGTTATAATTTAAGACATGCTGCAAACTGCGACAGTTTAAAGTTTAAACGTGTGATAAGAGGATGAGAAGCTCCGTATTTTATACGTGGAGTAGATGCAGTCGTTTTATACAATAAACTTGCTTGCATTTTAAGTGGAGTTTTATTTACAAAACAAGTTGCAATGGTGTCTACGCCCATGGTTATTGTGTGAAAGGTAACTACGCCACTGGTGACTAGCGAAGATTTGGCAGCTGTCAACGGGATTGACAACGCGGGAAATAAAATCACTAAAGACCCTAAAAAATAATTGAGGTTAGGTATTTAAATTTGATGCAAAATAAGAAATTAATTTATAAAAATGGTAAGGTTTGTTAAAAATAACGCAAAAATATTGTGAAAATTCGTTTCAGCTACCTTTATCGTTGCTACGTACTGCCCAAAACCATCCCATGGTAATATATGTAAATTTAACAATGACGCACTGTACGTTTGTAATTTTAGCTTGTGGAATTGAAAAATGGTGAGACCTATAACGGCCACTTGGTCAGTTGCGACAATTGGATGAATATAAACTTACGTGAAGTTATTTGCACATCAAGAGTACGTATTATTTGTGATTAAAAAAATAGTCTTGTTGACGTTTTGTTCTCAGGATGGCGACAAGTTTTGGAGAATGCCTGAGTGCTATATTAGAGGTAGTACGATAAAGTATTTACGAATCCCAGATGAGGTGATTGATATGGTGAAAGAAGAAGCTGTTGTGAAGAATAGAGGTAGGGATATGAAGAGTGGCCGCGGGGGGCAGAACCAGAGAAATAGACCTGCAGCTAGAGGTACAAATGTGTGAAGGCTTGAAGCGGATGTTAAATTTGTGTTTTAGGCAACTTTGGAGGTCGTGCAGGAAAAGCCGGCCAAGGCGGCAGAAATCCCCCATTCCAAAAAAAGAAATAATTTTATCAATCTTAGCATGCCCATTTTATTTATAAGAACAATTATTGTAAGATAAAACCTGAATAAATATTTGTTTTGGCTACTAAAATTTGAACCGTGAGCTTATCGCGCTTCGCGCAGTGGCTCCATCTCTCGGCCGTCGAGATCCGGGTTCCGGATTTCAGGACATGCGCGAATTTGGTCCATCCAAAGCTTTTGACAGGATTTTGTTGAATTTGGGAAGACCGCTGGGTTGGTGTTTTCTGATGTTTTCCAGTTAATAATAGCGTGTTAAAAGCGGCCAAAGTGAGAAACACTGAATTGTGTTCGGTTTGTCCGTGATAAGAGTTAAATGTCCCCTTTAATTAATTTTCGAGCGGTGACAGAGAAGCTGAATGTCATCAATAAATTCTTGCGTGGACATGGACGTTGACGGTCCAGTCAACGGTTCCGGCACCCTGAAGAGGTGCTCCAGTGCTCCTATGATTAATGAGAGCAATTCCATCATGACCACTGCGACACCTTCCGGTTCGTCTTCGAGGTGAGTGCAATAACGTTCCAATGTGCCCTCTCATATGCGAAATCACGCAGGGATCAGCAGTCCTTCAACTTATTTGGGGCCACCACGCAGACCAGGACTCGCAGATTTAGTGCCAGCTTCAGCCCGGTGCCCGGCTCTCCTGTAAGCATTTAGCCCAGTGCCTGTCATGGACTGGCTGTACTTAGATGTAAGAAATTTGAGACCTGTGGAGACTGGGTGGTGTGATTTTGAGATTGGGGCAATGAGTGCAAAAATTATTATGATGTTGATATTCTAACCTAAAGGAAATTCGAGTGACAAAATGAGCCAGATTTAATTTTTTTTTTTATATCTTGCAAGACTATATCAAGAGGTGGGTAGTTTTACTGCAGTTTTAGAGAAGTTGTATGCATATTAATTTCACAAAATAGGGGTCACTAATTCTAGAAAATAATTGAGACAATTAAAATTTTATGGATGGCACAAACTCCCAATTTAGTCATTATTTCTGATACAGGTTAATTACCTCATGGATTTAGTGGGTATAATCACGGATTTTGGGGGGCTATAACTGTATCTACTTTATGCACCAATTGTGACTGGATTTTAATGTGGATTACATTAGTTTTAGTTGGTGGGAATCAAATATGTTTTATTATTTTGATACGAAGCATTATTCTTTTCATCATAAACCACCAGATTTATGTAAGACAATTTAAGTGTCCATTTATTGTAATTTGGTAATTGTTTGTTAATGTATTATGTATTGCATATCCACTAATGATACAAACTTTGGAAATTACCCAACAGTTGCTTGTCATTGTGATAATGATAATGCTCCAAAGACGCCGACTAGTGATTTATCTCCTAAGTTTATTACTAAAATTATCACTCTTTTTATATACTCTGACGTGCCAGTAGACTAGCCTGTCTGCGTTTAGTTTCTATGATGTGCAGTAACTGGTACAGCAAATTATTGTAGTTTACTGGAATTTTTTCATAGGAATTTGTTTATTTAATTTGAATTCGTAATCGTAGTGATTTTAAAAATTCGTATTTTCCGATAAAAAAAAATCCCCTTTTACGTTATAACGCAATATTTGACATTGATTTATGAAACTTATGAAACATTGATCATCAATGTGGTGCTTAACGGGTTTGGAATGTGGGCTGTGAACTAGCTTCACAGGGAGTGTGCTTGATAAAAAATTGTATATAATATTTTTTTCAATATAAAACCATCCAGCTGTCAGCTACGTAACGATTAGTTGTAATTATCTGGGAAATTTTTACCACAATTTAATTTTAAAAAACTTGTTTTAAAAACAAAAAATAAGTATCAATGAAATTAGCGTTAATTGCTTTAAATTACCGCGATCCGTGTTAAACGACTGTAACACTTGACATTATTTTCAATTTGAGTTAATTCGATTTTTTTTTGTCTAATAGGACGGAAAATTTAAAAATATATGAAATACAAATGTTTTTAATTTACTCAAGATAAGTTGACATTTCGAGCGCATATTTGACATGTGCGTTTAACAAATATTGACTACATCAGAGCTGTATATCTTGTCTATGGTTATCATCCTCAAATAAACAACATGTCTCATATTTAACATAACATATATACTTTTTTCATAATACTTAGCATTTAGAAAGTCTAGCCAGTCTAAAGTGCTGCTTACACAGTTGTACGTTTACCAAGCAATGTTCACAATTTCGTTAAATTCTGGTAAAACGAATAGCAAGATCCAGTTTTTAGAACGAGGACATTATTATATGTCGTAAAAGCGATCTATTTAATTTATTGTAGTACTACTAAAAGTCTTTTTTGCCTCAAAGTGGTTGGACACCAGACGTGACATTTGTTAACAATAAAAAATGACGTTGTAGATCGTATTCTAGAAAATTATTAATAACTAATAATTTAATTGTTTGTTAGACAATACAGTTCATTGGTACCATCGACCATATACGTAAATTTTTCATCACCCAGTATATGTGAAGCCAGGGCGAATAAACATTTTTGTGCAAAAATCCAAATCTCCATCTTTACAAATAAATGCATGAGTTTTGGAAATTTTTAATTTTTTTTTTATATAAAATTTGCAAATATCTTTGAAAACTATTGTTCAAAAAACGCTTATGTCTGCCTCATTCAAAAGTACAGTTTTGAGTGTATTTAAAAATAATCCTAAATGAGCTTGGGTATAAATTACGACAGAAATTACAGCGGATTTTTAGAAAGTCTAAATCTATTAGAGAGTCGTTCATCCTTCTGGTGATTAGATGACGTCATCGCAAACATTATTAAGTAAATGATCATAGCAAAAATTTCTACAGTTCCGTACAACATTTAGGAGTATTATTTATTACTTTTTAGAAAAATTGCTTATGCAGGATGTTCTGTAAATAATTTAATAGTAAAGTTGTGTTTATTAAAGATTTAAATTCACAATTATTTTACAAAACTTCGCTCGCTCTTGAAGTACAGTCAAATTATAAAATTTGATTTTGCGAAATTAATTTTTTTATGATAACCCCTATAATTTAAAATAAAGATATGTGTGAATTGTTAAAGTACAGCTAAAGAAACATGCTCTGCGTATGTTTCAAATGAGTTTTTCTATAACAAAGTTTTGTGATGAGTTTAGCAAATTTTCAAGAAAAATTAATGAACCGTTCCTGATTTGAACAGTAAAACCTGTATAAGTAATTGTAAAAAATATAAATACATTGATAAACCACAAGTATAGACTCATAATACGGGTGACTATTAATGATTGAAGCAGTTTTTTGTGTTGGCAATTCTGAATTATTGACATCCATGCCAGTACGTCAGTTCACAGTTGTCAATTTTGACATGAGCACGCCTAATAAACGTGTTGATTGGCTGAGACGATGGCAGGTGTCATAAATGTCACCTTGACAATCACGTATGCGATCATAAAATTTTAAATAGGTTGCCAACCTGACAAAAAAAATCGGAAACATTAATAGTCATTCGGTATTTTGGATATTTTATTCAGGAAAATTTTTAGAGGAGGAATAAACAGATACATTTTCAGTAGCAATTTATCATGCTTATTATCACCTTAAAACGTTTGAAAGATTTGTGATCATGAATACAGGATTTCTCGATATATTTCTAAATTCTTTCTAAAGTTTCAGGGGTTCTTAGATTCTTTAAAATTCTCAAAAAAAAACACGGGATCCAAAGATTCTCAGAAATGTTTTCACAAATAAAAATTTCCAAATAAAAAAAAACACTAGGAACTCAAACATTTTTGAATAATTTTTTAAGGGATTCTCGATATTTTTCAAAATTCTTGTTAGAACACCTGGGGTTTACAAATTCTTAAAAAAAAACCACTAGGACCCTCAGATTCTTTTAAATTCTGAAAAAAATTTGCAAGGGACCACAAGATCCTTTCAAATTTTGTCAAAAGGAAATACAAGGCGTCTCCAAAATTTTTATAAATTCTTTAAAAAAACGTCAATACTGAGTCCAAGATTCTTTCAAATTCTGAAGGAAAAGTCAGCAAAAACCCCAAAATTTGTTACTTATTTTTTTATGAAAATAGCGGCTGTCAATATTTTTCAAATTTCTTCTAGAACATTAGGAGTTCCCAGATTTTTTCAAAAAGTCAAAAAAAAACACTTGAGCCGAAGATTCTCCTAATTTCTTAAAAAAAAGATGCTACAAACCTCAAGCCTCTTTCAAATTAAAAAAAATAATAAAACACCAGAGGCTTTTTTTTCAAAAGAAAAAAAGCAGCGGGTTTAAATATTTTTTTCAGAAACTTTCTAAAACACCAGGGGTTTCCCAGATTCTTTCAAATTCTTTTAAAAAACGACTAGGACCACGAAGATTCTTTTAAATTTTTAAAAAAGGCGCTATGGACCTCAAAGATTTTTTCAAATTTTGTCAAATTGAAAACACCAGGCGTCTTCAAAATTCTTCTAATTCTTAACAAAAGGATACTGGGCCCAAGATTATTGCAGAAATTTTCAGGATTGAAATTCTTTTAGAAAAATCATTAGGGACTCCAACTTTTTTTTATGAAATCAGCAGGGGCTCTCGATATTTTTTCAAATCCTTTCTAAAACGCCAAGATTTCTCAGGTTCTTTCAAATTCTTAAAAAAAAAACACTAGAGACCCCAAAGATTCTTTAAAATTTTCTCAAAATGAAAACAAGCGTGACCAAAATTCTTTAAAAAGAGGCACAATACTGGGCAATTTTTTTCAAATTGTTTCAAAATCAGAACATCAGAGATCTCCAAGATTCCCTGGCATTCTTCCAAATTCTCTTAGAAATGTTGCTAGGAACACCACCATTATTTATTTATTTATTTATTTATAATTTTTTTTATTGAAAACAGCAGAGGCTCTTGATATTTTTTCATGTGCTTTCTAAAACACCAAAGGTTCTCAAATTCTTTAAAGTACTTTAAAAAAACACTAGTAGGACCACCAAAATTGTATTAAATTCTAAAAAAAAACACACACGGGGGGATCTCAAGATTTTTTCCATTTTTTTAAGTGGCTCTCGATATTTTTTCAAATTCTCATTAGAACACAAGGCGTCTTCAAAATTCTTCTAGATTCTTAAAAAAAAACTCAATACTGGGTCCAAGATTATTTCAAACTCTGAAGGAAAAGTCACTAAAAACCCCAAAATTGGTTCCTTATTTTTTTATGAAAATAGTAGCGACTCTCAATATTTTTCAGATTTTTTTCTTTTTCGAATTGTTAAAAAAAAAACACTGGAACCCAAGATGTTGCAGACCTCAAGATTCTTTCAAATTAAAAAAAAAATAAAATACCAGAGGCCTCCTACATTCTTTTAACTTGTTTCAAAATCAGAAAACCAAAGACCTCCAAAATTCCTTGAAATTCTTTCATAAGCGCTACTAGGAACTCCAGCATTTTTTTTAAAGGAAAATAACAGCGGTTTTCGATATTTTTTCAAAACAACACTTTTCAAATACTTAAAAATAAAAAAATCGCTAGGGACCCCAAAAATTCTTTAAAAATTTCTCAAAATGAAAATACCAGGAGCATCCAAATTTTTTTAAATTCTTAAAAAAGGACACAATAGTGGGCTCAAAAAATGTTTTCACATTTTCTCTAAAAACCAGGGGTCCCCAGGTTCTTTTAAATTCTTTTAAAAAATCCTAGGACCTCGAAGATTCTCTTAAATTTAAAAAAAAACACAAGGACTTCAAAATCTAATAAAATTTTTTCACTATGAAAATACCGGGGGTCCCTACAATTCTTAAAAAAAAAACAATACTGAGCCCAACATTTTTTCAAATTGTTTCAAAAGTAAAGTATCAGAGGTCTCCAAATTTTTTTAATTTCAAACTCGTCAAAAAGAAGTCACTAAAAACCGCAAATTTTTTTCCTTATTTTTTTACATTTTTTGCAAAAATTGAAATTTTAATGTTATTTTATAAAATTTGAATAATATGTACTGAACTGTATGAAAAAAATGTTGGTGGGGATAATCAGACAAATTTTTGTTAACACTACCTGCTGTTAACATTTTACCAACTACACGATATTTCTAAAATACATTTAAAACTTGCCAAAAATCAATCCAGTAGTTTCGGAGATAATCATTCTAATAAAGGACGGAAATAGGGACCTGTTTTTTCGTGCTCTAGGTGTCCTAATACGTCGAGAAAATACATATCAAAATGAAATATGGTAAGAAATGTCACAAAAATCACTCGTTTTATTTTTTAGTGATAGTTCTAAATGATATTAAAATATCCACTCATTCAAAAAACACACCTCAAGATTTTTAAAAATTTTTTCAAAATGAAAACACCAGCGGCCCTTATGATTCTTTCAGATTCTTAAACACAATACTGAGCCCAAGATTTTTTCAAATTATTTAAAAATCAAAACATCAGATGTATCCAAGATTCTTTCAAATTTTTAAAGAAAAGTCACTAAAAAGCCCGAAAAATTTTTTAATTTTTTTTTTTTTCTCAATTTTTTGCTTTGAATATTTTTTCAAATTCTTTCTAAAAACCAGAGGTTTCCATGTTCTTTCGAATTCTTCAAAAAATCCTAGGACCACCAAAATTCTCTTAAATTCTTAAAAGAAAGACACAAGGACCTCCAAATTTTACCAAATTTTTTCAGTATGAAAACACCAGGGGTCCCTATGATTCTTTAAAAAAAGACAATACTGAACCCAAGATTTTTTTAAATTGTTTCAAAGTTAAACACCAGAGGTCTCCAAAAATTTTTCAATTTCAAATTCGTGAAAAAAAGTCACTAAAGACCGCAAAATTTTTCTTTTTTGTTTTATTTTTTTGCAAAAATCTGGATTAGTATAAAAATCAAGTCCGATTCATAAACTACAAGTATGTTATTTCATAAAATTTGAATAATATGTACTTTGCACCATTTTGAAGTGAAAAAAATTGTTGGTGGGGATAATCAGACAAATTTTTCTTAATATATACACGATATTTCTAAAATACCTTTAAAACTTGCGAAAAATCAGTGCAGTAATTTCGGAGATTATCATTCAAATAAAAAACGGAAATGGGGACCTATTTTTTCATGCTCTAGGTGCCATAAAACGTCGAGAAAATATCAATTATGTCTGAAATTGTAAGAAACGTCACGAAAATCACTCGTTTTATTTTTTATTGATAGTTGTTACGAATGATTTTTTTATAAGAAAAAAATGAGATTGAAATATGTACTCATTAAAAAAACACACAGGGAACTTAAGATTTTTTAAAATTTTTTCAAAATGAAAACACCAGTTGTTCCTAGGATTCTTAAAAAAAAAGAATACTGAGCCCAAGATTTGTTCATTTTTTTTTTTGCAAAAAATTAACACTACCTGCTGTTAACATTTTACCAACTACACGATATTTCTAAAATACATTTAAAACTTGCCAAAAATCAATCCAGTAGTTTCGGAGATAATAATCATTCTAATAAATGACGGAAATAGGGACCTGTTTTTTCGTGCTCTAGGTGTCCTAATACGTCGAGAAAATACATATCAAAATGAAATATGGTAAGAAATGTCACAAAAATCACTCGTTTTATTTTTTAGTGATAGTTCTAAATGATATTAAAATATCCACTCATTCAAAAAACACACCTCAAGATTTTTAAAAATTTTTTCAAAATGAAAACACCAGCGGCCCTTATGATTCTTTCAGATTCTTAAACACAATACTGAGCCCAAGATTTTTTCAAATTATTTAAAAATTCAAAACATCAGATGTATCCAAGATTTTTTCAAATTTTTAAAGAAAAGTCACTAAAAAGCCCGAAAATTTTTTTAATTTTTTTTTCTTAATTTTTTGCTTTGAATATTTTTTCAAATTCTTTCTAAAAACCAGAGGTTTCCATGTTCTTTCGAATTCTTCAAAAAATCCTAGGACCACCAAAATTCTCTTAAATTCTTAAAAGAAAGAGACAAGGACCTCCAAATTTTACCAAATTTTTTCAGTATGAAAACACCAGGGGTCCCTATGATTCTTTAAAAAAAAGACAATACTGAACCCAAGATTTTTTTAAATTGTTTCAAAGTTAAACACCAGAGGTCTCCAAAAATTTTTCAATTTTAAATTCTTCAAAAAAAGTCACTAGAGACCGCAAAATTTTTCTTTTTTGTTTTACTTTTTTTGCAAAAATCTGGATTAGTATAAAAATCAAGTCCGACTCATAAACTACAAGTATGTTATTTCATAAAATTTGAATAATATGTACTTTGCACCATTTTGAGGTGAAAAAAATTGTTGGTGGGGATAATAAGACAAATTTTTGTTAATATATACACGATATTACTAAAATACCTTTAAAACTTGCGAAAAATCAGTGCAGTAGTTTCGGAGATTATCATTCAAATAAAAAACGGAAATGGGGACCTATTTTTTCATGCTCTAGGTGTCATAAAACGTCGAGAAAATATCAATTATGTCTGAAATTGTAAGAAACGTCACGAAAATCACTCGTTTTATTTTTTATTGATAGTTGTTACGCATGATTTTTTTATAAGAAAAAAATGAGATTGAAATATGTACTCATTAAAAAAACACACAGGGAACGTAAGATTTTTTAAAATTTTTTCAAAATGAAAACACCAGTTGTCCCTAGGATTCTTAAAAAAAAAGAATACTGAGCCCAAGATTTGTTAATTTTTTTTTTTGCAAAAAATTTGGGTAAAAATCAAGTCGGATTAATAAACCACAAGTTTGTTATTTTATAAAATTTGAATAATTTTGAAGTGAAAAAACTGTTGGTGAGTATAGTCAGAGACATGTTTATTAACATATCAAATGCACAACATTCCTAAAATACGTTTAAAACTTGCCAAAAGTCACTCCAGCAGTTTCGGAGATTGTTATCATTGTAATAAAAGACGGAAGTGGGCACCTATTTTTTCGTGCTCTAGGTGTCAAAAAACGTCGACAAAATGTCAAATTATAAAATATTGTAAGAAACGTAACTAAAATCACTCGTTAATTTTTTCAAAATAAAAACACCAGTAGCCCTTATGATCCATTCAAATTGTTAAACACAGTACTGGGCCCCGGATTTTTCAAATTATTTCAAAATCAAAATATCAGATGTCTCCAAGATTTTCAAATTTTTAAAGAAAACTCACTAGAAACCCGATTTTTTTTTTTTTTTCTTAATCAAAACAGCAGCGGCTTGTATATTTTTTTAAATTCTCTCTAAAAACCAGGGGTTCCCAGATTCTTTCAAATTTCTACAACAATCCTGGGATCCCCAAGATTCTCTTAAATTCTTAAAAAAAGACACAATGGGCCTCAAAATTCTATAAAATGTTTTCAGTATGAAAACACCAGGGCTCCCTATGATTCTTAAAAAAAAGACAATACTAAGCCCAAGATTTTTTCAAATTGTTTCATAAATAAACCATCAGAACTCTCCAAAAAAATTTCAATTTCGATTCGTCAAGAAAAGTCACTAGAAACCGCAAAATTTTTCCATATTTTTACATTTTTTTGTAAAAATCAAGTCGGATTCATAAACCACAAGTATATTATTTTATAAAATTTGAATAATCTGTATTTTGCAAAATTTTGAGGTGACGTCATCAAATTGTTGGGGGGATAATCAAAAAATTTTTTGTTAGCATTAATATTTCTAAAATACATTTAAAACTTGCCAAAAAAAAGCATCTACTCATTAAAGACTTTTTATCCAGGTGTCCGGCCTCCGCCTCACCCCCCGGATAAACCAGCTCCGCCAAGAAGAGCACGCCGACGTGAGCAACCTTCGCGAGCTGGCCCACGAGCGCGAAGTCCACCACGCCATGCAGATCTCCCAGTCCTGGGAGGACCTCAGCCTAATGAACGAATCTCACAGCGACTCCAAGTCCAACAAGATGGGGCCGCTGCACGTAAACCTGCCGCCGTACAGCGGCCTCAACTGCAACTCCCCCTCCCCCACGCGCCTCAGCTCGCCGGGCTTCCAGAGCCCCACGAGGGCGTCGCGGACGTTCATCAGGCGGAGCGCCAGTCCGGTGCTCCGGCCCAGCCCCCTCGGGGTCAAGAGGAAACTCGACGACGACAAGAACGACTACTACGTAAGTCCGAGGTCGAAGAGGTTTCACAGTTACTCGGCCGCGGACCGCGGCGGCCTGCTCACGACGACGCCGAGCAGTCTGCCGGGCTCCCTGAGTTCGGTCGGGACGCCCGAGTCGTTGTCGAGTGCCGATTCACCAGGGTTTAACTATAGGAACGTAGATAGTCTTTCGCCTAATCGTGCAATGCCGCCGGAACCGATGATCGTGGCTAAGGGGGATCATGATATGAACGACAGTCCTAGTTAAGGGGGGATGATATTTTGATGATTGTGTAGGGTAGGTTTTTGAGTAGTGATGTTTGTCACCGATGAAATCAGACAGTTATTGAAAAATATTTTGGAAGGGGAGGGGGATTAAGAACGTGTGTATTGAACATGACTGACCTTCACAATTCTGATTTTTTTCGTAGTGTGGCTCGATTTTTAAATATTTATTCAAATTCTGCCATTTTCTATATTAGTAGGTAAGGTTATTAAGGAAAAAGTGAAATTAAAAGAAGTTCGTAGTCATTGTAAGAAGTAATATGTAAAAATCCAAGTTGATATTTGAAATTTTCGTTTTTTTAAAGCTTCGTTTAATTTCTTTGAATATACGTAAGTTTTTTAGAGTGTAGTTGATAAAAATTGGGCGTCTCATTTTTTTAATAGTTGTAGTGTGTTACTAAATGATTTATATTGATCGTATTTTGAGCAATAATTTCAAGTAAATGAGTTTAAGGTTTTTATTTGATTTAAATTTTTACTCTTTGTATATTATATTTACTCTTTTAAAAGTTGGGATGATTATTTGGTTGATCGCATACATGACTTACGAAAAAGGCATAAAGGTATTTATTTTTTTAATAATAAACTTGGTGAAACACTAATTATCGTTACAAGCTGTTTGACTAACTTGGTTAAAGCAAATTTAAAACTAATTTAGATTAAAAACATATTTTAGTTTACTAATTTCAGAAAAAAGTGCCAAAATTCCAAAGATTTTGACTAATTTCACTGATAACAATTAATTTATAGTCATAAAATTTATATTAGATTGTCGGTTACTCTTCATGTTAAGAAATTTAGTTTTTAACTACATAAAGATAGAAAACTTTAAGTTATATTCTTTATCTGTGTTGAATTTGAGTACTTGAAGTTTTATGGTTTGTAACGAAATTAATAATTTTAGTAATCTGCATCCCTGAAAGTTGGCAGCATTATGTGCTGTCATTTGCAACGTCAAGAATTTGTGCTCGTACTTAAAATCGGTGAAAATTGTCTAGTGTGCTTCCGTATTTAAATCTTGAGGTCACTCGTTGACGTGTGTCGACAACAGTGTCGCCAACTGATGTCAAATTTAAGACTTGCATTATGGGAGAAGGGAAAAAATGAATCAGTTAACTTTGTGGTTCTAAAGTCCAAGAGATTTTTGTTGGTGGTTTGAATTCAATTAAGCACAACGTACATTTGTGTGTACTTAAACCGAAACCTAAACAGTTTGAAAACAAAAATTACTAGTTTTCTCCACTGACATATCATTTTAAAACATATCATTTTTCGTAACGTATGAAAACAGTTAGATGGCCATCAAGTCAGGTTTTTTTTTACTGACTTTCCACTACTGTTAAATAGTTAACAAAAGTACACTATCTCTCACAAAGCAACCAAATAATTTTAATTGTGTCAACTTTGGTCGTCAAATCATGTTAAACCACGGACCTCAATTTACTCGACAAATATACACAATTTAGTTTATATATTATTACAGTTTAACGTCCAAAGATGACTCAATTACAAATTATCTTAAACACACGATCTAGTTCATACTGTTACGAGAATGATAACTGGAATTTAACATTAAGTACAGTGTAGTTGTTCCTGGGAGGAAGGAAAACGAACTCTGAGCTTCACAAATCCAACATGTACTTAAAAGTGTGGCGCCGGCGTCGCTGAATATTACACATAGTTAGCCAAATTGAGAAAACAAAAGTCACCAAATCAGTTAAAACTGACTAAAGATAAAAATTTCAAACACAGGGTTTGTTTTCTTTCATGTTTTTGTGAATGACGAGTCGATTAAAGGCATCTTCATCCCACGATTTATACCTGTCGACGAACTCAGACGGAGTTATTAAATTGAGAATATAAATTAATCCGTGTCATATTTTTTATTGCATTCTTTGGAAGTTATCAGATATTGAAACATAATTTATTGGCAGTTGTAGGTTATGACCAACAATAATGAAATTGTCTATGTACCTGGGTTATAAGCCTTCTCTGAGATTGTTTTTTATTATTTAGTGGAGTCTAGTGAAAAAGTTTATTTATATTCGACTAGGTGCCCCTTCTTACAAGTCATGTTTAATGCGCATGTCTCTCTTATTTTTACAAATTGGTGTAAAAAGTGATGTTTTTCAATAACTTCGTTTTTTACATTCTACCTATGTATAAGAGTATAATGTTAATATAAATTTCTCTAGTCTATAGTTGTAATGTGAACTAAGTTAGTGTTACGAACAATGTGAAGACTCTGCAAGGTGCTAAGTACTGAAAAATTCAGTAATTTTGTTGTTTCTTCCTTATGATATTTAAACTCATAAATCCATTTCATCACCCATAAACCAAAAAATATCAAATGAAATGGGTTTATAGCCTCCTCAGTGAACTCTGTATTCTTGCCCTGCTCACTACAGTGATGGTAGTGGGTACTTCAGGAATGTTTCCTTAATCTTCCACTCTCTGTAAAAAAATACCTGCAATTGTATATTTTCTAGTGTAGTGCCTCACTGTTCTAATCATTTTTATACATAATTAGGAACAATATAGACTGACGATTTGTAATTAGTTGAGTTAAATTCAGCCAACTCATTTGATATATCTGTAATGTAAATAGTACTCTTGTTGGCCAATTAAATTGTTAATATATTCAAAGTGATTTCACCAATCATAAATATATCATCTTACGACTACCAGAACATCTTTCATTGGGTCGCACGAGTCGTGCTGTGGCAATTGCTGCGCAGATTAGTTTCCGGAAGTAGTGTTTGGTTAGGTATTACAAAATTCCGTTGACCCCTGGGGTTTTGCGACTGACCGATTAGTGTTATCGCTGCTGCAATTAGCGCTAATGATTGGGAAGAGTGGGATTTTCCGACGAACATTTTCAAGCGAATCGCGAATTTTTTAAATGGTGCGGGACGGTTAAAACAATTTTTGGTGAATTAAGTAAGTAAAACAAAAAAGAAATGCAAATATATGACAGAAGATTATACAAATATTACATATAAGAGGTTGTAGAATTTTTGGGGAGAAGTATAGAAACGTCATTTTTAAGGCAGTGGTGCAAACTGCAAGATTTATGGCAGGTCTACTGCAAATCAAAAAATTAATAGCCGCACAGGAATTTATTACTTAAACATTTTAATGTTGTTCTGTCTAATAGTTAGGTAACAGCAAGGAGATATAATAAATGCATGCACCACAGAAGTTAATAGATATTTACGATATGTGTATCGTAATGTGGTATTTTACGATACGCGATGGAAAAATTGTCCAACGAGCCGAAGGCGAGTTGGATAATCCATCAAGGATCGTAAAGAAACATTACGATACAAATATTGTACAACGTTTTATCTACTTTCAATAATTTTCATAACAATTAACACATATATTTTTGTAATTTTTTAAAATGTGTTTATGGAGAAAAATAAGGCGGCTAAATTAGTAACCGTAGTTACTGATTTGTTTACGTTTTTCACAAGCGTTCAGTGAAAGCAATTTATGTGCAAAAATTAGTGATTCAGAGGATAATTTGCCTTCCGATATTGAAGTGGCTACTCAATCTGCCATCGATACGTTAGTTCCTGGTAAATCTGAAGAACGTTACGAGATAGCGTACAAATATTTTGATGAATGAATGGAAGTTAAGAAAATTGGTGACATTTCTGAACAAGGTGATGCATTCCTATTTTGCTGAACAACCAGAGAAGTTAAAACCATCCTCCTTATGGTGCCGATATTCCATGTTGCGAACCTTGGTGTTGATTACGAAGAATGTTGATATTTCTGAATATCATCAGGTTGTGGCTTTTTTCTCGGAAATAAGAAGGTTCCCGACCCAGAAAATCGTTTATTTTTTCCAAAGAAGAGATAAATCAATTTCTTAAGAAAATGAATGATAAGGATTTCTTATTTATGAAGGCAAATTGCAACTCATATTGATAAAAAACAATCTCAAATTTATATAGTTTCAGGTTGTTTTGAGAGTCGGAGTGTTTGGTGCTTGTCGACACCAGGAGATCACAAATTTGACGACACGAGACGTTAGAGCCGAAAAAGAATTTATCAAGATCACCTTACTGAATTCAAAAATTAAATTATGTAGAATTTGCTATAACAAGAGGAAATTTTCAGGGAATAATTAACATGTTGCTTGGTCATAGAGGCTGGAAGTCGGATAGCATGGCAGAAGGATATGTTGAAACATCTGTCGAAAATAAGAAAATAATTGCTAGGAAAATAACGGGTTCTTCAGTTACTATGGGTTCAACAAATTAGGTCACGGTGGAGAAGCCCAGCTTCAACATGGAAACAGCGTCTGGTGTTAACTTTATAACTGTTTTAAACTGTGTAATTTATGTTAATAAATGGTTTTGAAACTTTCTTTTCTAAAAGTCACTCTTTACCGCACTAGTGCGGTAATTGTTCCTTTACTGCACTTAGTGCGGTAAAAACTACCATTACAATATCAAAGAAAAACCTGTAATCTGGCACATTACATAATGAAAGTAGATAAAAAATATTTATAAACAAAGGTGTTAGAGAAAACTACCTCACACTGATCATATAAAAGGGAAAGCGAAATTTACTTTTCAAGTTACCTTCAACTGTTTGAGGTGTGTAGTAACCAGCAGTGACAAAGAGCTTTATAAATTTTTATTTTTGATTTATTAAAGTAACACTAGATGGCGCAAAGTTCCACAAGATATACATCTACAAATAACGGTATCTTCGTATCAACTAGAGTTCTTTCTGGTGGTTCATAAAATATCATACGAACTAATACTGTATGACATCTTTGATATGTCTATATTTTGCCTTTTTTTAATATACATAGTATTCTTTGAACAACACGATACTCAAAACCATGTTTTTAATAAAAAAAATCATCACAATTGAGATAGGGCGGATGGGCGGGTTTACATTTTGCCTTTATGTTTTAGTATGTGTAGACTTCTTATCACAACATGAAACTTAAAACATGTTTAAAATGTTCAAAGCACAAAAAAGTACTCCTAATTTATAATTAAATACATAAATCAAAATAAAATACTTTTCAGTAATTGTAATTTTTATCTTTGAAGTATGTCTTTCTATTTTGACGGTATTTCAGACAAGAAAATTGCTTTTGATTTTTTTTTTTTTTTTTAGTTTGACGTAAGGGGAAACAAAAGATGTGAAAGACGTAGGCGGTGGTTTATTTTTTTATATAAATGTCATTACCATACAATTGCCACAAATTGAGGTTAAACTAATTAAACTTGACTACGGCCTACTTACGTCTGTCACAATTTTTGTTTCTGACCCTCCCCTTATCTCCAGTTTAAAAAATCATACGGTATATGCCATTGATCCAATATGCTTTAAATTTTTTAAAAGTATTGGTGGTTGCATATGCTGTTTATTTTAAAGCAGAATATTAAAGTGCGGGGTGTGGTGTTCAACTTGGTAAAGTCGATGTCTATGGGTTTATTCACGGGTTTATTATCCTAAAATTTACAAATGCAACCAAAAAATTTGCTTCAATCATTAGTAGTCAACCGGCATTTAATCTGACGCCTGAAGAAAAAATGGCTAGACAACATTATCCACGTTTATTTACCCCCTAAATCAGAATTAATTACAATTAATTATCGACCTTTGTACCGGGTGACTATTAATGACTGAGACAAATTTTTGTATTGGCAATGCTGTATATTTACGTGTCAGTTTACAGTTGTCAACTTTGACAGAAGCAGCCCTAACGTGCCTTATTACAAAATTATTCTAGGTATGTCATCATAAAATTTTAAATATGTTGCCAACCTGATGAAAAAATCACAATCATTTTAATAGTTATCCGGTATTACTTATTAAACGTCACTTCATGAAAAAAAACGATCGGTTTTTCTCATGGAGGTAGGATGATCATTCTATCTCCATGGTTTTCTGGGCTCATTTAAATCAAATTTCGCAATAAACTTCATTTCTCCTCATATTATACGTATTTATTTACTGTTTATTTTATAAATTATAATTGTGAATTAATTATAATTATTTTGAGTAACTTATTTCAAGCATCACGCGTTGGCCGTTTTAGTAGTTTTTTGCTTAGCTAAAGTCTAGCCCATTTATATCTGTCCATTTGATAAAAAATAAGAGTATACTGCCCTGTTTGATTTTTTTCTTCAATACGGGTATTTATTTATTTATGACTTTATATTATTATTCCACGAACACCTACATATAGATAAGTATTTTTTCCTTTCGCGCTAGCCTCCGTTTCAACAATTTTTGAACATTTTTTTGGAAACTTTTTGAAAAAATATTTTGCCAATTTTCTGGATTGTTGGAATTAGCAGAATCAAAATGACATACAATTTTTATACTACCTATCAAGAATTTTCTATAAACTACTCCCTTTTTCCTTTCAAATAGACACCATTTGGAAAATTTTTGGAAATTATTTTTCTAATTTTCTCGCTCATTTGCAGACAGTTCGAAAATTACTTCAGATTTGTAGCTTGGCAGAAATTTTCCAATAGCTCAACGCTGTTTTTGTTTCGAATGCCTAGTTTGAAATATTTTTTTGAAAATTTTTGGTAAATATTATCTGCGTTTTCTATGTCATTTCAAGGAATAGAACAAATATATACGCAAAATATTAATCCATGGAAAACTCTATATTTAAATTAGTATTTTTCTTTTCGCATAGCTGGCATTTTAACAATTTTTAGTTTTTTTTTTGAAAATTTTGAAAAAATATTTTGCCCTTCTCTCGATTGTTGGAATGAACCGAATCAAAATGACGCCAAATTGACGAAGAAAAGAATTCTCTATTAACTAGTGTTTTTTCCTTTCAAATACACACCATTTTAATATGTATTTTTGAAAATTTTGGCAATTATTTTTCTAATTTTCTCGCTCATTTGCACAGACAGTTCGAAAATTACTTCAGATTTGTAGCTCGGTAGAAATTTTCCTATAGCCCAATGTTGTTTTTTTTTTCGAATGCCTAGTTTGAGACATTTTTTTGAAAATTTTTGGAAAATATTTTCTCCATTTTCTATGTCATTTCAAGGAAGAGAACAAATATAACCTCAAAATATTAATCAATGGAAAACTCTACATATATTTAAATTAGTATTTTTCTTTTAGCATAGCTGCCATTTTAACAATTTTTAGATTTTTTTTGAAAATTTTGAAAAAATATTTTGATCTCTCGATTGTTGGATTGAACCGAATCAAAATGACGCCAAATTCACAAAGAAAAAAATTCTCTATTAACTAGTGTTTTTTTCCTTTCGAATACACACCATTTTAATATCTATTTTTGAAAATTTTTGGAATTATTTTTCTAATTTTCTCGCCCATTTGTACAGACAGATAGAAAATTACTTCAGATTTGTAGCTTGGCAGAAATTTACCAATAGCCCAACGTTGTTTTTTCTTTCGAATGTCTAGCTTGAAACATTTTTTTGAAAATTTTTGGAAAATATTTTGTCTATATTCTAAGTCATTTCAAGGAGTAGAACAAAAATGACCTCAGAATATTAATTCACGGAGAACTCTATAAATTAGTATTTTTCTTTTCGCATAGCTGCCGTTTTAACAATTTTTGGATTTTTTATGAAAATTTTGAAAACATATTTTGCCCATATCTCGATTGTGGGAACGAACCGAATCAAAATGACGCCAAATTCTTAATCCACAAAGAATTCTTTATTAACTAGTCCTTTTTTCTTTTCAAATAGAGACCATTTTAATATGAATTTTTGAATTTTTTGGAAATTATTGTTGTAATTTTCGCGGTCATTTGCAGAGACAGTTCGAAAATTACTTCAAATTTGTTTTTTTTAATGCCTAGCTTGAAACATTTTTTTGAAAATTTTTGGAAAATATTTTGTCTATTTTCTAAGTCGTTTCAAGGATTAGGACAAAAATAACCTCAGCATATTAATCCACGGAGAACTCTATAAATTAGTATTTTTCTTTTCGCAGTGCTGCCGTTTTAACAATTTTTGGATTTTCTATGAAAATTTTGAAAAAGTATTTTTTTCCCTTATCTCGATTGTTGGAATGAACCGAATCAAAATGACGCCAAATTCTTAATCCACAAAGAATTCTTTACTAACTAGTCCTTTTCTCTTTTCAAATAGAGACCATTTTAATACGAATTTTTGAAATTTTTGGAAATTATTTTTCTAATTTTCTCGGTCATTTGCAGAGACAGTTCGAAAATTACTTCAGATTTGTACCTTGGCAGAAATTTTCCAATAGCCCAACGTTGTTTTTTTCTTTCGAATGCCTAGTTTGAAACATTTTTTTGAAAATTTTTGGAAAATATTTTCCTATTTTCCAAATCATTCAAGTCGTAGAATAAAAATGACCTGGGAATATTAATCCACGGAGAAATCTATAAATTACTCCGAGTATTTTTTCCTTCTGCATATCTGCCTTTTTAACAATTTTTGGAATTTTTTTTTGAAAATTTTGAAAACATTTTTGCCGCTTGTCTCGATCGTTGAGATGAACCGATTCAAAATGACGCCAAATTATTAATCTACAAAGAATTCTCTATTAACTAGTCCTTTTTTCCTTTCAAATAGAGACCATTTTAATATCAATTTTTGAATTTTTTGGAAATTATTGTTCTAATTTTCGCGGTCATTTGCAGAGACAGTTCGAAAATTACTTCAGATTTGTTTTTTTTTAATGCCTAGCTTAAAACATTTTTTTGAGAATATAATTCATGTATCACATGACCTCATTTCTTCCAATAGAATTTGTTCATGCCCTTAGTTACATGTCTATCACAGCGAGAATATAATTCATGGATCACATGACCCCATTTCTTCCAATAGAATTTGTCCATGCCCTTAGTTACATGTCTATCACAGCGATAATAATTTTATTGCCTTATTGTGGTCTGTTGCTACCTAAATTTAAAAACTGTCAAATTTGACAAATTTTAGAATTTCATAAATTTTTTTGTCTATTATGGCTTGCCAACGTTGGGAGCAAGCTCAAAACGACGAAATCAATTCTATTATCAAAAAATATGTTCATTTATTATATTCTCATGTTGAATATAACTCGTGATATGATTAATAATAATCGAAGATTGGCTCGTGAAACCGAAGCAGCACATTCAACTCGTGCTTCGCACTCGTTGAATCTGCAGCTCGGTTTCACTCGAAATATTATCGATAATAATCATATCACTTGTTATATTATAATTGATAATAATTTGATTGCCTTATTGTGGTCTGTTGCTATCTAAATTTAAAAACTGTCAAATTGACAAATTTTAGAATTTCATAAAGTTTTTTGTCTTTTATGGCTTGCCAACGTTGGGGGCAAGCTCAAAACGACGAAATCAATTCTATTATCAAAAAATGTGTTCATTTATTATATTCTCATGTTGAATATAACTCGTGATATGATTAATAATCGAAGATATGGCTCGTGAAACCGAAGCAGCACATTCAACTCGTGCTTCGCACTCGTTGAATCTGCAGCTCGGTTTCACTCGAAATATTATCGATAATAATCATATCACTTGTTATATTATAATTGAAAATTTTTGGAAAATATTTTGTCTATTTTCTAAGTCGTTTCAAGGATTAGGACAAAAATAACCTCAGCATATTAATCCACGGAGAACTCTATAAATTAGTATTTTTCTTTTCGCAATGCTGCCGTTTTAACAATTTTTGGATTTTTTATGAAAATTTTGAAAAAATATTTTTTTCCTTTATCTCGATTGTTGGAATGAACCGAATCAAAATGACGCCAAATTCTTAATCCACAAAGAATTCTTTACTAACTAGTCCTTTTCTCTTTTCAAATAGAGACCATTTTAATACGAATTTTTGAAATTTTTGGAAATTATTTTTCTAATTTTCTCGGTCATTTGCACACACAGTTCGAAAATTACTTCAGATTTGTAGCTTGGCAGAAATTTTCCAATAGCCCAACGTTGTTTTTTTCTTTCGAATGCCTAGTTTGAAACATTTTTTTGAAAATTTTTGGAAAATATTTTCCTATTTTCCAAATCATTCAAGTCGTAGAATAAAAATGACTTGGGAATATTAATCCATGGAGAAATCTATAAATTACTCCGAGTATTTTTTCCTTCTGCATATCTGCCTTTTTAACAATTTTAGGATTTTTTTTCTGAAAATTAAAAAAAAATGTGCCCCTTATCTCGATCGTTGAGATGAACCGAATCAAAATGACCCCTAATTATTAATCCACAAAGAATTCTTTATTAACTAGCCCTTTTTTAATTTCAAATCGAAATTTTTAATATGTATTTTTGGAAATTTTGGAAATTATTTTGCAAAATTTCTCGGTTATTTGAAGACACAGTTTGAAAATTACTTCAAACTCGTAGTTTAGAAGAAATTTTCCGATGGCCTAGCCTTTTCATTTTCTTTTAAATAGCCAGTTAAATTTCTTTTGCAAATGTTTCCAAAATATTTTTCTTTCCTATAGCCGCCTTTTTAACAATTTTTGGATTTTTTTTTTATTTTGAAAAAATATTTTGACACCTATCTCAATTGTTGGAATGAACCTAATCAAAATGACCCAAAACTATTAATCTACAAAGAATTCTCGATTAACTAGTTATTTTTTTCTTTCAAACAAAGACCATTTTAATATGTATTTTTGAAAATTTTCTCGGTTATTTGAAGATTAATAGTTTCAAAATGACTTCAGATTCGTGGTTTAGAAGAAATTTTCTAGTGACCTACTGTTTTATTTTTCTTTTAAATAGGGGTTTTCAATTTTTTTTTTAATTTTTTAAAAATATTTGCCCCAGTTTCTAAGTTTTTTAAAATTGTTTTTACGTTATTAATACACCATAAACCCATATTTTTCTCTTTCATAGCCACCCGTTTAATATAATTTTTTGAATTTTTTTGGAAAATTTTAAAATAAAATTTTGGCATTTTTCTCGGTTGCTGGAATGAACAGAATCGAATTGACGTTAAATTACTAATCTACAAAGAATTCTCTATAAATTAGTCCTTTTGGAGACCATTTTCGCATTTTTTTTTTGAAAATTTTTGGAAATCATTTTTAAAAATTTTTATTTGCAGACAGTTTGAAAATTACTTGGGATTCGTAGCTTAGAAAAATAGAAAAAAATCCACCAGCCCAGTATTTCTTTTTTTTTTTTGAAAGGGGTGCGTTCAAGTTCTTTGACATTTAAAAGAATTATTAACGATGTTTTAACCTCACTCAAGTTTTCCCACATTTTCCCCCAATGTCTGTAAAAATTAACTTACACCCAGCAATTTTCCAAAATGTGTACTAGCGAGTGGACAAATAGAAGACAAATGATACCAGGATCATTGTCAAGTTTGAAATTGTTTATAAATTTATAATGTCATTTGCATAAAATGTCAAATATTTCAGTAATTAATGAATAATGAAATATATCGCGTGATTGGTTTCAGTTGGTATCAACAAATATTTCTGAGTGTTTGAAAGTGACATGGTGCCAAGTATTTGACTCACCAGGTTCGGCAATAGCAGCCCAAGAAAAATTGGTTAATTCCATTACCAACTTAAACAGAATTTGCAAAAATAATAATATAATAATAATATAAAAAATAAATATAATAAAAAAAAGTTAGAGAAATCTAGTTATTGTTGTTTCCGTACTGAAATAAAACAAAACCCCGAAAAAGTTTTTTCGTGTTACGCTTATGTCTAGAGATGGTTTCTGCGTTTCTGTGTCGCATTATTTGATTAATTTCGTGAAGCTTTCAGGTGTGGTGACGCTACTCGAACTTTATTTATACAAACTGCGTGGACTGCTTAATTTTCGGTTTTTAAATTTTCCCAAATTCCAAAACCCAGCCAAAAATAAGACGCTCCGCCACTGCCTCCCTCCGTTGCCCAAACATCCACTAGAGGCCGCCTCCACTTTCAAAACTTCTACCGCTCGCGGCGCTGCCGTCGCCAGTCAGCTGTGACAGTTCGACGATTGTCAGTTGCGCGAGGCGAGTGTTGTGGTAAGAATGGCTTCGTCACGTAAAAAGCAAGACGAGAAAAATCTCAAGACGTTACGCGAACTGGGGGCCCAGCCCCAGAACAAGTACTGTTTCGACTGCAACCAGCGCGGCCCCACCTACGTCGACATGACCATCGGCTCCTTCGTCTGCACAAAGTGCTCCGGAATGCTGTGAGTACCGTTGATTGACAACGCTTTGACAGGTGATCCCGATGTTTATCATTCCCTTTGTCGAACGCCCATGGCCGTTGGCGGCGTGCCATGCCTTTGTGAGAGAAAGGCGCCAGACGGGGCTATCTCGTGCCCTCTGACCGCGGCGACACCGCTTCCCTCCGGAAAACTCAAAGGGGTGCACCTGCCGTTGCCCCTTTCTGCGGTTACGGACGAATTTCGCAACGTGATTATAATTGGATTAAGAAAACACGTTTTACCGTTTGTACTTTTTGCGCTTCCTGCGGTCGTCATACTCGCATGGGTTTGCTCTCCAGAAATGTTAAGTGAAGGAACTCTTGTTTGTGCAAGTGCAAATTTGTTTTCATTAGCGATCGGTTTGGGTAAATATAAATAGCACATGTTTCCCAATTAACATGTTTTACAAACAACTTTGTTTTACTTCGGAGTGTTTGTTTGGTTTGGTTCTGTATCTTGTAGATATCCGAGGACGTGGATAGAATTGAGTCACTTCATGAAGTGGTTTTTATTCCGGCGAAGACAGGTGGGATGGCGGGAAGGTTTTGTCGTGAAATGCGCTTTCGTTCTGATTCGGACTGACTCATTTTTAAATCAGATTAGTCAGCTTATGAAAGTTTAATGCATAACCAATTCCCCATAAGGCTTAGTTAAACAGAACTGGAAAAACTTGGCCATACCAGGAAATGTATAAAATGTTCTTTTGGACGAAATTTAACAGTGTTATTAAAGTACCGTAAAAACGTCAGGTAGGAATATACAAGGTGTTTGATGTCAAGTGATTGGTTAAAATTACCTCACAACCAGTGTCCGTTAAGGTGGATTTCCTGTAACTGTCAAACACTTCGCCTACTTTGTTTCATTGATTAAATACATATAGATAGACCCATGCTATTGTTTGGAGCGAACAGGCCAACGGCCGGCGAACAAGAGATGGCGCACCAACAGTCGGCCGTCAAACGCCGGCGAAAAGCTTGGACACCAATCGCGCGCGTAGATAACCCAAATCGCAGCAACAATACATTTAATAAAGCTACCACTCGACAGAGGGCGACGAAAACAATGTGTAAAAATCTCATAGTAACCATTTATATAATTTGCAACGTTGCCAGATGAGCCTAGCACAACTCTGCCGTTATTTCTAGTCGATTAGATTTTATTTCGTTTAAAAGTTTCTGGTGAATAAATGGAATTATTATAATGAATAAACAATACAAACAAATTATTACTTGTTATTTTAAATACTTGTTAGTGTTGATGAAAACATAAATGGTAATTAAAGTTATTCTAAATACGGTCCGGTAGCTCAAATTTTACAGTACGAGTGATATGTTTCAGGACGAGTAGGTAGCCGAGTCTTTAATTTCGAAACGAGTACTGCGAAAAGAGTTACCGGACGTATGTTGTTATGTATTTTATTTCATACTGTCAACATACTTTTTTATTCGATAATATTATTATTATTTTGAGAAAAAATCCAAATCGAGTCACTTTTTCTGACATCGTTAGCAACCGCTCTTTGGTAAATGTTTTAATTTGTTTATTCGTGCAAATCAGCATCATATGTTTAAACACATAGTACTTATAACACTTTACAGGACTTATTGTTTTGTATAATCCGACTCGATGGACGAATGTTTTGTGCAATCCGTCTCGAAGGACCAATGTTTGTGCAACTCGGCTCGTCCTACCAATATTTTTTTTAATCTGGTTGATACGACAATGTGATACCGAATTGTACTTTGATATTGCTCCAAGGACCTTTGTTTTCTTGCGTGCGAGATAATAGACAGCGTTCGGTTTCGATGTTTAATACAGGACGGTTACAGAAATACTAAATTTACATTTGTATTTACAATAACAGGTAAAGCAAAAGAGACCCAAAAGGGTCAGTGGCCACTTCCGGAAATGGAACACTTGTCCTTTTTGGCTCAATTTTATCGGACTTGTCCGTTTTTTTGATTTTACCGGAATCGTTCGATCCAGTAAAACGTCAAACTTGACATAGTATAAAGTAAAATAAATAAATTTTATTCAATTTTGACATGTAAACAAACGTTTATTTTGCCGTCAGTAGGCCACTAAAGCTTTGGTTTATCCGGTAGCACCATAAAATTTTTAAACCGCTAGCGAAATAAAATTTTTATTTTGCTGTTTTAAAACCATGGTTACCATTTCTGTAATTTCTCCAATGCCTTGCTGCTCTTTCCATCTAAGGAACTTTTGATACACTTTCTGATTTGCTCTTTTTTGGGAGCAAGTTTTGCCGTTGGAATCTTGCATGATTTTGCAATTTTTCGATAATTTTAGTTTGTTTAAAATAAACAAACACCGTCGCCAGAGTCACATACTACACACACACACCTGATATTGTAACCTAAATTCTACGCATATAAAACTTTTATTTGGTCGCTGTCAATTCTGACGTTTCTCGAATGTGAACTTTGAATCACCAATTTTTTCACAATTTGGGACTTGGGGTTGTCAAAATTGAATAAAAGTTTGTATTACACTCGCGGTTAAAATGAATGTGTAACTCGTGGTCTTAAGGCGCTCGCGGCATACGCCGCTCTCGCCTTAAACTGGCCGCTCATTAAACATTCACTTTAACCGCTTGTATAATAAATAACTATTATGATGTAAATACAATTAAGTATATCGATAATTCGCTACTGAAAATTTATTGAAATATAATTTGTGTTAAAAAAAGATTTTTGTGGTTTTATGGTTTATTAACATAATTTACTTATTTGAAATTAAATATTTTTAATACATAGCACAAGTTCTTGATATTCTTTATTTTTATTCCAAGTAATAATTGTGTTTCCTTTAGTTTTAATCAAGAAAATTTTTCGGTTATTATCTAACATACTTTTGTACATTAAGAAACTCCATTCCACGTCGCAGGACGTTACAGGACAATATTTAAATAAATAAAGAAGTCGTTTTATGTGTTTTAAAATTCACTCTGATTTCCGGACTTTAGACTTTTTGGTGTTTCACTTCGGGACAAGAACTAGTCGTATCTCAAAGAAAACAAACAATGGAATATACCGTATTGTACCTATATTTCATAGTAAAAATGTCTAAATTTTTTTATGAAGAGACAGACTGTTCTAGGAAACTTTACTAAATCTTTTCATTTACGAGCTATTGAAAGTCCGCCGGTCTCACTGATACTTCTTACTTGGCTCCTACGAATGAAGCGAAAAATGCACAGATTGAAAATATAGTAAATGGGGTAGTATGTATGCGTGATATGTCGTTAGACATTAGGTATTTTGCAAATAAAATTTATTTCATTGAAAACAGAAACAATAAAAAACATATCTGTACAAGTTTGGAATCGATATGGCCAGTTGTTTAGAATATGCAAATATGCTTTTGTTCGTATTTACAATTATTACGAAACGGGTTATCAAATAATCTACTTTCACATGGCGAGACTTTCAAGCGGCCGAAGAATTAAAAACCATAAATTTTCATTGAAGAAACAAACTCTTCCAAGAAAATTACCAAATCTTTTAGTTTACGCACTATTGGACGAGCACGCCTTAAAACGGTCAGTATACCTAATCGCATTATTCCATTGATACCTACCTACCGAAAACGTTGCCAGATGAGCCTAACACAAATTTGCGGATATTTCTCGTCAACCAGATATTATTTCATTTAGAAGTTTCTGGTAAATAAATGGGATTATTGTAATGAACATATAAAACAAATAAATTGTGATTATTATTTGTTGTTTTAACCCATTAGACGCTTATAGGCTTATAAGCATACTTTTCTTGAAAAATCGGTAATAAATTCAGTGAAACATCTTTGTGCCTTAATTCCTATTGGTAAACTGGGATTTTGAATAGAGGTCGCAGGAAAATTTTGTATGGTTTTATGGTTTATTTACATAATTTTCTTATTTACAATGAATGTTTTTGATATATAATACAAGTTCTTGATATTATTTATTTTAATTACATTTAATAAACCATAAAACCAAAAAAATCTTTTTTTAACACAAATTATATTTCAATAAATTTTCAGTAGCGAATTATTATCGATACAATTAATTGTATTTACATCATAAAATTTATTTATTTTACTTCATACTATGTCAAGTTTGACGTTTTACTGGATCGAACTATTCCGGTAAAATCAAAAAAACGGACAAGTCCGATAAAATTGAGCCAAAAACACGGAGGTAGAAGAGACACTCTTCTACCTCCGTGGCCAAAAAGGACAAGTCTTCCATTTCCGGAAGCGGCCACTGACCCTTTTGGGTCTCTTTTGCTTTACCTGTTATTGTAAATACAAATGTAAATTTAGTACTTCTGTAACCGTCCTGTATTAAACATCGAAACCGAACGCCGTCTATTATCTCGCACGCAAGAAAACAAAGGTCCTTGGAGCAATATCAAAGTACAATTCGGTATCACATTGTCGTATCAACCAGATTACAAAAAATACTGGTAGGACGAGCCGAGTTGCACAAACATTGGTCCTTCGAGACGGATTGCACAAAACATTCGTCCATCGAGTCGGATTATACAAAACAATAAGTCCTGTAAAGTGTTATAAGTACTATGTGTTTAAACATATGATGCTGATTTGCACGAATAAACAAATTAAAACATTTACCAAAGAGCGGTTGCTAACGATGTCAGAAAAAGTGACTTGATTTGGATTTTTTCTCAAAATAATAATAATATTATCGAATAAAAAAGTATGTTGACAGTATGAAATAAAATACATAACAACATACGTCCGGTAACTCTTTTCGCAGTACTCGTTTCGAAATTAAAGACTCGGCTACCTACTCGTCCTGAAACATATCACTCGTACTGTAAAATTTGAGCTACCGGACCGTATTTAGAATAACTTTAATTACCATTTATGTTTTCATCAACACTAACAAGTATTTAAAATAACAAGTAATAATTTGTTTGTATTGTTTATTCATTATAATAATTCCATTTATTCAC